AGACAGGCCTGCTTTCAAGGCTGGCTCTCGGTTGGCATCTGGAACTTGGCTCCCAGTGTGTTCCTTGTCAACAGTTAACTGATAAACAGGGCTCACTGTGCCTCGATGGTTTATGCCAACATGGTATATGCTAACCGCCTTTCCTTCTGGGGACACAAATTTGAGTATGTACCAGACAGAGGGGACCTACATGGCCAGCCCCCAATAAAAACCCTGAGTACTGGGTCTCTAATGTGACTCCGGTAGACGACCCTTCACACATGTTGCCATGACTCATTGCTGGAGGAATTAAGTGCAACCTGTGTGACCCCACTGGGCAAGGCCTCTTGAAAGCTCACGCCCAGTCTCCTCCAGACTTCATTCCATGTGCCTTTTCCCTTTGCTGATTTTGCTTCATATTCTTTCAATGTATTAAATCTTAGCTGGGAATGTTTCTAGCAAAACACTCAGAGGAGTTGGGAATCCTGACACACCATAGTCGCCACAGTAATAATGACAATAGTATAACTTGACAGATGGCTAGGTGACCCCCCACAATCCATTCTCCGCTTCTTCCATGGTAACAGAATTACACATAAGCACAGGGCCAAGCTGCTAGAGAGGACGTTTTCATTCCCAGGGCTTGGCATACAAGAGAGAAATAAGTTTTTGCTTGATTTAATCTATGGTATTCCGAGGTCTTTTCCTTATTGCTGCTTAGCATGTACAAATAGTAAACATCCCTAAGTTATGATCATTGAGCGCTTACTCTGAGAGTTTCAGTGCCTGATGTCGCAAAACGTTTATGATAACATTTAAAGCTGAGTAGTCTTCCCACTTATAAGAACCCAGAAGCTCCCAGAATGGCAGTGAGCTGCCCAAGGACAGGAAACTAATAGAACCAGGGTGACCCCAAATCCATGGCGGGCTGTCAGCCACTATACTAGATGGTCTCCCACCCTGCTAACATGCATGTTGAGGTGATGGAAGTACCATGTTTCACCAAAAATAAGACCTAGCCAGAGAATAAGCCGTAGCATGGTTCCTCCAGGATATGGAGGGCACGCACCCCTCACATGAGGGTTTATGACCTGTTTCAGGGAGAAGGGTGCCTTTTCACGAACTCCTTCAGCTTAAAATATTCAGTATGCCAAGGTGCCATATTTTGGCACCTAAAATCATGCCACGGCTTATTTTGCAGCTAGGTCTTATTTTGGGGGAAACAGGGTAATTACAATGAGAACATCAGTGCTCCACACAAACAAATCCAGAGAGTGAGACAGACAGAGAGGGAGAGAGAGAAAGCATATACACTGGACAGAGCCCACCAGACAGACAGAGCCCACCAGAGACAGACAGACAGAGCCTAAAAGAGACCCTCAAGGGAAAGTGGGTGGGCAAGCATGCACCAGAGATCGAAAAAAGGGGAGACAGGGAGAGTACACACAAGTAATGGCCAGGAAGAGGAGAGAGAAAGTGCCAGACAGAAGGATTGAAAAACAGAAAGAAATATGGAAAGATAGACAAATAGGCAAGCGGTCCATTTGAAAATAGAAAAAGATAGAAATGACAACAGAGAGCCCCAGACAGAGGCCTCCACCCTTCCTGGCTCCTACCTTGGATTTGCGGTCAACAGTGGAGGTATCTCCAGCTCCAGAGAGATGAGGGGACCCCCTGCCCCGGCCCCTCCGGCCGCGGCTCCCAGCTCCTCCTCGAGGCTGCTCCCCAGGACTGTCCTCCCAGCTGCGGGACGCCCGGCCCATGCCTGCCCGGCCTCCCTGCTGGGTGGGAGTCCGGCCTCCCCTGCTGGACCCTGGGGGCCGAGGAGTTCCGGGAGACCTCCGGGAGGGACCCTGGTGCTTCTCCTAAAAGAGGGAGGAAAACTCTGATCAGTGGGGCAAGGAGATTGGGATGGCCCAGGTCCAAGGGCAGCTGCCAGGATGGAAGCCACCCACAGGTCTGGGACAGCTGGGAGGGCTCTCAGGTCTCAACTCTTTCCCCCTCCCTGTCCTCAGGCATCCCCCACCTCGGTGTGGAACTCACCACCTCAACTGCCACATTCTCCTTCTCCAGCGAGCGGCCCTTCCGGGGAGCTGTCACTGCTACACCTTCAAGTTCAGCTTTTTTACGGTCCTCTTCAATCTCCTAGGAGCAAACATCAGAGGTAGGTGAGTATCAGAGGTCCTGTGTGCCGCTGGACTCCCAGAGCCCCCTGAATTTCTCCCAAATCTGGCCCCAGCCCAGGCCTCTCTCCTGAGTTCTAGAAAAGAAAACTGGTCACTGTAGCATCTTCCCCCAAACTACATCATGCTGCTCCCCTGCTCAGAGCCCTCCTGTGGTGCCCATCTCTGAGTAAGAGCCACAGGCTACCCCACAACCTATGGGGTCCTACAGGATCTGGCCTCCCTACCACCTGACCTCATCTCCCACCTGTTTCCATTGCTCACTCTGGCCTCCTCACTGTTGCTAGAACATAGCAGACTCAGACCTGCCTCAGGGCCTTTACATCTGCTATTCTCTCTGCCAGGAACACTCTTTCCCCAGAGATCCTTCAGTCCCTCACCTCCTTCAGGTCTTGCTCAGATGCTCCCTTCTCAGGGAGGCCTTACTTGACCAGCTTATAGAAACCAGCTCCCCTGCCATTCTTGTGCCCCTTCCTCTGTTCATACCTGGCATTGTGTGTCTTTTGCCTATTGTCTGCCTCCCCCAGGGAACATAATCTACTCAAGGACAGAGATATCTGTTTTGTTCACTGATGTATACCCTGAGCCTAGAACACTGCCTGGAACACAACAGAAACTCAGTATGTTTTTTTTTTTTTTTAATGAATACATGAAGAATGAATAAATGAAAGCTATTCCTCTCAGGTCCCAACTCAGGGACAGCCCCATCTGTTCTGTCACCTTTTAAAGGGAACCTGGGCCTTGTCCTAGACCCGCCCTCCACCTTCCCACCTCCCGTCAGTCACTGAGTCCTTCCCAACAGCCCTGTCTCATGCCAGGCACCTCCTCTCCCCCGAGGTCCCTGCCTTAGCGTCCTTCTTGGTTTCTGGTCTCTAGTATCGCCTCTTCCCATTCACACCATACAGCAGCCACAGGGGTCTTCCTGAAAAGCTATTCTGACTTTGTTCTACTCTTGCTCACAGGTTCACAGCCCTCCATGGCTCCCCAGTGCCCTCTAGAAAAAGTCCAAACTCTTAGCCTGGCCCCTACTGACCTCTCCAGGTCAATACTTCCTGACTGACCCTTCAACTTTAAGCTCCAAGTTTTGGCACAACCTGTTCCCTCTGTTGAAAACATGTTCCACTGTATTTTTCAAACAACTAACGTCTACTCACCCTTCAGGTCTCAGAATCCCCTCCTTCAGGAAGTCCTACCTAATATCCCCCCCGGCTGGGGGAAGAGGCCCCTCCGAGCTCCTATAGACCCCTGAACTCCCACATCGCAGCCTTGCCCAGTTTGGGTCACCACTAACTAAAGTCAGGACTGTCAGCCCTGGAAGGGCAGGCCCAGGGCTGTCTCGGTCACAGCTGTTTCCCCAGCACCACTTATCACAGGGCCTCATACAGTAAAGACCTTTTGTGAATGAACAACAAAATGATGGCATGAAGGAAGGAACAGCAGGCTAAAGCCTTTGGCTTTTATTCTGAGAGTGAAGGGGAACCATGAAAAGGTTTTAAGGCAGGGAAAGGTGAGGGAAACTCACTGCGGGGAGGAGAGGGGATGGGGTCTCCCAGGGCAGGGCTAGGGCACCTGGTAGCGCCGGATGAGGGCCTCATTCTTCCGACGAAGAGCCTCGATCCTCTTGTCCAACTCAGCATCCTTCTCCTCCTTTGATTTCAGATCCAGTGTGGCTGACTGAAAGGAAGACACAGTAAGAAGATCCCATACCCACTCTAGTGCCACTCAATCCAGGGTCTGAGTCTGGCATCTGCGTCTGAGTCTGGCACCCTCCTCCCAAGCCTCCTGCTCCAAAGCTCAGATTCCAGAGACTCCACTTTCCATCTCACCATTCTGCTGGCTGGGTGGGGCCAAGGTCCCAGCAAACCTTCCCTGCAGAATCTGGACACAGCACTGGGGGTTCCTGAAGGCAGAGGAAACAAAAGGCCTAAGACCAATGCCTCCCCAACATGCTTCCTCCTCTCCCATACTGGGGGCTCCTCTTTCACACATAAAAACGCCTGCACCCCAAAAGAATTCTAGCCCTCTCATGCCCTCTTCCTGAAATACTAGCCCACTTCTTACCTGGAAAATTTAGGGTCCGCCCCCTGTGAACATTTGGACACACCCATTTCCCATGTAAACACTGGATTCACACCCACCTTGGGAAAGGTCTGGCCCCACGCTGCCACCTAAACCATGTAACACTGCTCCACTCCAAACGAAGTTCTATAGTCCAGCCTCTACGCCGCTTTGCCTAGAGTTTTAACCTGGGACTCCCATCTCAAGAGATTGTGAAATACATTCTCTCCCCGCAATCTGCACAAGGAAGTTCTAGGCCCACTACCCTGTGCCCATTCTGGTGCCGCTCACATCCCTGTGAACATTCTAGAGCCGGCTCTATCGCAGGACCGTTTCAGAAACGTCTCATAACCCCTCAAAAAAAGCTCGAACCCCACTCCTACAGGCTGCCGCGACCCTTAAAGCACGTTCTAAACTCACGTCTTCCTCAGGGATGTCCTAGCCCCGTCCCTACCATCCCAAGAAAGGCGCCGCTGCCTCCCTGTACCCCGCAAAGATCACGAAAACAGGCCCAGTACCCACTAACGAGGCTTCGTAGGCCAGGGCCGATCTCTCCAGTGAATATTCTCCCTGCCCCGACGCGAACAAAACTTGCCGGATCGCCCGCGACTTTCCAGGGAAAAGCTCGTCAAGACCCAGTCGGGAACGCCACGGCCCCGCCCCCGGCCAGAATAAACTTTCTGGTCCAGCCAACAGGCTCGCGTCTCCGATCTGGTCCGGCATCCGACATTACTCGCCAACCCTCTGGCCCCGCCCCTGTCTCCCCAGGCAACAACCGGAACCCGCCCCCTGCTTCTCGTATTACACAGGCCCCGCCCCAGCTCACCTTCCACCGCTCAGGCCCCGCCTCCAGCCAATCTTATCACGCACCCTGGCTCCCGGGCCTCGTCGCGTCAATATCTGGCCCTACCCTCGACACCCCCACCAACAGCCGTGGTCCTAGCTCCGCAGCCGCCTTCAAGACCACACTCTGACCGCGCCCCTGGCGCCGCCAAAAACTTTCTGGCTCCACCCCAGCATCCCCCACCAGCACCCTGGCCCCGGCCCCTGGGTCCCCTTAACTTTTGGGCCCCGCCCCCTCCTTACGTCAGCCTCTGGGTCCGCCCCTGACTTCCCGGCCAACCCACTTCCAGCTCTGGCAAAACTTTCTGGCCCCGCCCCCAGCGTTTCGGCCAGCGTCCCGGCCCCGGCCCCGCCCCCTAGCTTGCCGGACATTTAGGCCCCGCCCTCAGCGTGGGCACAACTTTTAGGCCCCGCCCCCAGCTGCCCACCCACGCTCCGGCCCCTTCACCGGGCCCTGCCCACCAGCCGACGTCTCGCCCCGCCAGCGCCCCTCTTGCTTCCCATGTGGGCGTCCTATCCCCGCCTCCCGCAGAGTACTCTGACCCCGCCCCCACAGGCTGCTAGCTCCCTCGCCCGCGTCCGCTCCCCCCACGTGGGGCGTCAGGCCCCGCCCTCTCCGGGCGCACTCCCGGCCTCCTCTCCCGGTCACCTGTCCCGGAGACCCCGCGGCGTCCGCGACTCCGGGTCCGTCGGCCTCCACGTCCGCAGCTCCCGGGCCACGCGCGTCACTTCCCGCCTTCATCACGTGAAGAGGGGAAATAAAGAGGGTCACTTCCGGTCCTGCCGGCCCATTTCCGGAAGCCTTAAAGGCGCCGAGCTCCCGTGGGTGGACCCTAAGTGTATCGAACTGTCCCGCAAGGGTGTTCTGCAACCTTGCTCGATTTCCTTCTGCTTGGATTATCTCCTTCCAGGAAAAGGACACGCGCTTTTCTCTCTCTCTCTCTCTCTCTCTTCTCCCCTCCCTCTCTCTCCCCTTCCCTCCCTCCCTCCATCTCCCTCTCTGGCTTCTACGTGCTCCCCTTATTTCCTGGTTCCAATAAATAGGTGCCGGGCATTGGGCAGTAACTCCTGGAAGCCTGACCTGCCCGCTTGTGCTGGGGGAGATGGTGAGGGAGGGTCAAAGTGATGAAAGTAGCAGACCCCATCCCTACCCTCATGAGGGAATGCACAAGTAAATGTGAAATAACCAAAAACAGAAACAGAAATGTGGGAGATG